GCTGGTGTAGTCAATTAACCAATTAATTGATAAGCTAATGCTTATAGGTTAATGATATAGACTACACGCATTTCTCTCTCCCTCCCCGCTGCCAGTAAATTTTTCAGCAAGCAGTCCCTCTCAGTCCTGGCTCACACTGGGTCCAGGACCTACTCCTGCTGTGGTTCTGCATTTGAAGTGTATTAGGAGCCACCCGGGGGGCAGGCAGCCCAGCTCAGTTCCAGCTCGCATCAGGTTCAGGAGCTCAGACATCCCCTAGACAAGGGCTGCTGCCACCCCATGCTGCTGTCTCTTTATCAGAGGCAGCAGCAGTGGGCGATAGGGAGCTGATTTTTAAACGCTCCCCTTGCGAGCCAGTTCCCACCTGACACCCCATGTTGCTGCCTCTGTTACAGAGGCAGCAGCATGGAGTGGCAGAGGGTTCCCCAGGAGTGAGGTCGGAGTGCACTGGCTGCCAGCCCCGCCCCCGGGGACTATAGAATAGTTGAGTAACCAATAAGAATTCATGAGGTTAATCAACTATTCAATTAACCATTATTTAACATCCCTACCAGTTAATACTCAGTATTATTGACAAAGCATTCAAATTCATAGCAATTCCTCATGACAAAGGGAAACATTCCTACTCCTCCTAAGGGAATTGTGTAAAAAAAAATTCTGCACATTTTGTAAATACATAAATTTGGAGGCTTCAGCATGACAGTCGGGAGCAGTGGTTGCACGGACATGGGAGATCACCCCTGTGGACAGGAAGTTGGGAGTAAAGCTGCACCAGACTCTGCCAGTGCAAGCACCCCCAGCGCCACTCTGCTCTGTGGCTTCCTTGTTATTCTCTGTGGGGAAGCAAAGAAATCTGCAGGGAAGAAGGGATTTGGCATGGGACTTAGCTCAACAGTGACACTGATTTACCCTTTCAAAGATATTTGCATGACTACAGTATACATACACAACATTTTAACTGATCTCTATACATATTCCTAAGTTCATCTTAAATATAAATGTGTTAAATATTTCTTATTTCCGTAATATGTAGTTCCAGTGTGTTGGCTCCTACATTACCTATCCTGGCACAAACTATATTGAAAGACAACAATTTTGGAACTACATATTACGGATATATGTAATGGGTTTAAGAACCTGACTGCAAATACACTAACATAAGTAAAGGAATGTATAACATATCTCCTTACCCTAGTTATAAAGTAGATTCCAATTTAATGAAGACCAGTTAAGGTTAGCAGTACATTACAAAGTGGAACTACATTTCTAATTCCGGAGTTTGAGGGAACAATGCCCCCCAACCAGTAGATGACAACCAGTCTGCGACCAGGATTTTTGACTGTTGTGTTGACATGAGCTGAAAGGTTCACGTTAGCAAGATTTGCCAGGTCAGTGGGGAAACAGGAAGCCATTTAATCTAGGTTTATAGAATTTATGACGATTTACCAGCCCAAGCACTAAAACTATTTATTGCCTACATCTATTATATTTTAGACAGTTTGTGTATAAGAATCTCTCTGTATGTCTGTCCGTGAGTCCGTTTGTTCAAGAACTCCTCTAAACCAGGAATGGGTAGCTTTTTTGGGTCAGGTTCTGCTGACCGACAGAAAAATCAGTCAGGAGCTGCAGGGAGGATGGGCTAGAGTGCCAACACAAGTTCCCTAAGCCTTGGGGGCCAGATGCAGGCAACCCAGGGGCTACATCCAGCCCCTGGGCCTTACGTTCCCCACTCCTGCTCTAAACGATAAGAGCTAAGACCACCAAATTTGCTATGCAGCTTCCTCTTATCTGAACTTAAAGCAAGATCAGGGTTTGGTTTTGCCAGGACAATGGGATATGTCTGGAATTAGATTGTTTCTCATAAATGGAAAGAAAAGTATCTGGTAAGAGGGACAGTTATACTGCAGAATGACCACAGGGGGCAGCAAAGGGCCAGAGATGGGGACCAGGACAGCTATAACCCTGTACTCCAAGGGGGCGGGGTAGAGAAAGGGAAAGCTATTTACTATATATTTCAGAAAGTTTATATGTGGGTCTATCTCCCAAAAGGGAACAATGTTTTAAATGGGGGGGAGAGGGGGAGGAACCAACTTATCTGAGTTAAGGACCCGAGCAACGCTGGTTAAATTTAGTTTACTATGAAGATAAAGTGAGAAAATAAAATACAAGTGTTTTACTCCCTTTTTTCAAGGCAAGCCTGAACTGCTTTCAAAACCAATACTGAATACTCACTTAGTCTAGAAAATTTCAAAATATACATTAGCACAACAAATGATGTTAAGCCCCAATATTCTAAAAACATGTTAAAACAGCATCACTGCAAAAATTAGAATGCTTCAATGTCAGACCTATTCAAAATAGAAGTTGATGAAACAGCTTGTGTCACATACCTCACCAAAACCTCCAAAATACTCCCTTATTTTCTCCTCGGGTGTATCTGGAGATAGTCCACCAACAAAAATCTTTTTGACAGGTTCTTTTGTTTTCATAGCTTTAGCTCTTTTTGGATCAATCACTTTTCCATTCAGTTTATGTTCTTTTTGGTCCATGACCTATATAATTTGAAGTTAAAAAAATTTTTTTGACTTAAAACTTTACCAAAAATTGCAGTAAAGTATAATGCCAAAGATACAGCGTTAACTAGAGATGGGCATAAACTGTGCACTTTTACAGATGCATAACAAAGTACTATGGCTCCAAAATACATGACTGTTTCCTCCCCAAACCCTTCATTTAAGCACTTATCACTCTGGAGCCAAGTGCCATAAAAGGAAATTAAGGGACACAGTATTCAAAGGCGGTACTCTTAAAAGAAAGCCTGAAAAAGATCAAATCACTTTCTACTAGGAATGTAAAATTTCAATTAATTGGCTAATCAAATAGTTGATGCAATTTGCATCGACTATTCAATTAGTTGATAAGGGCACTTCGGCCCCAGGGCTGTTGCTACACTTCACATGTTAAAGCACTCTGGGGAACACGGGGCCAGCGGGGGACTCAAGTAGTCCCCCACTGGCCAGATGCTCCCCACAGCATTTCAAAGCAGCAGCGCTGCATGGAGCCCACGGTTAGCGGGGGGAGTCCCCAGCTGACCCCAGGCTTCATGGGCACTGACACTGAAATGCTGCATGCAGACTGGGGCCAGTTGGAGACTCCCAGCTGGCCCTGGGCTGCTCGCCGCATTTCAAAGTGGCAGCACCACTTGGAGACTGGGCTCTGGCCCTGGGCTCCATGCCATGATGCCACTTTGAAGCACCCTCTCTTCTTCACCCACCCCTTTGATGCCTTTCTGATAGAAGCAGCAAGGGGAGGAAGCGAACGGTTGCCTAGCATGTCAACTGTCGTATAAGCATTTGCTGAACTACCATCTGTTTAAACCACCTAAGCTTTGTTCCTCTTACTGAGCAAATAGTTCCACAATACTGGATATCCATAGCCCTTTGTTTTATATTTGATCAATTTCTGGGAAATTTTAAACTTATTAATTGACTTCAATTTTTTGAGACAATATGGGGGTTAACATTGTGGAACCAGGCGAGAGAACAAGTAGAGAAAACAAAGATTAACTGAAAGTGTAAAAGCAGTATAATACTGCCGTTTATTTCAGGAACTGTTAACAGTATATACACATAAGCAAGCGCGTATATCTTCCATTACATTAAATTACATTGCCTTAACAGAGACTCGCAATTAGACTTAAGACTAATTTATTATCATTTGCCGTGTTGTTCTAGCCATGTTAGTAATTCTCTTTAATATCATGGGACTAACGTACCAAGAAGCTCAAATACTCGTCTCTTTAACCAGCAGAGGTTGGTCCAATAAAATATGTTACTTCTCCCGCCTTGGCTTTAACATATTAATAACAAACACATCTACCTAACAATGTATTGGATTTTTTTTAACAGTCCTATTTCTGAATGGCCCAATATTCAGGTGAAAATTGGTATAAAACAAATAATTTTTGTAAAACTCAGGATTTTTTTGGTAAAAAGCAAAAATGAAGAGTCTTATGGATATAGAAGGTTTCTCAACAGCATTTACTATTGTAGCATCTGAAGCCTTATCTAAACCATAAAATGTCAAGCTAACTTGAGTTAGCATATGGCCATCACAGTGATTAATTTGCTTCTATGCACGCACACACTTGGCTCCTTGTGTCAGTGGTGCATCCCCTCACCAGAAGCACTTCTGTTAATTTCAGGATGGGGCACTGTGGGATGGCTTCTTAAAGGCAGTAAAGCTGAGGTAAGCAAAGTAGAGTCTATACTGAACTGCATCAACTTAACTACGTCAACTGACTCTACACTGCTCGAGTGTTACTAAATCTGCCTACAGAGGCACTTTTGGTAGAGGCTAAATAGAAATGAAGATACTTCCACAGTTAGGTTGATGCAAAGCAGATTACATCAGCCTACCCTGTAGTGTAACAAAGACTATGACTTGACATCAGTATTTCCTGTAATTTGTTATGCCCAGGGCTTGACAAATCACTGGATCTACTTGCCTGTGGCAAGCAGATTTCAGCCGGTTGCCCTGTTCACCAGAGGCGTGTGCATGCGCAATGCGGGTCTGGCGCATGCACAGTGCAGGGCTGGCGAGTAGATCTCGCCGCCATTTGTCAGGCCCTGATTATGCCTATGTGCGGAATGACTAATTGTGTGCACTCATATGGAGGCGATATATCAAATAGCAAAAGTCATTTTGCACACGGACAGAGTATGGCTGGGATGCAGCCAACAGATTGGGGTTCCAGTCTGGGGCAGGATGCAGGGGAGAGGTGACAGCTCTAAATGAGGGTGAGGATTCTGGAGTGGGGCTTGGGATGAAGGGTTTGGAGTAGGGATGTAAATGATTAGTCACTTTCATCCCCCACTTGTAGCAAGGGGGGAGCAGGAGCCAGTGCTGGGGGGAAGCCAGCTTAAAAGCCAGTTCCCTCCAGCACCATCTCTGCGGGGGGCATGGGAGACAGGCCTAGTGGGGGACCAGGCACAAGCCGGGAATCAGCAGTCCCGGCTCACACCTGGTCCCCCTGCTGCACTTTAGCTTTTTAAATGTATTAAGAGCCTGGTGCTCTTAATATGATTAAAAAGCACAAGCGCAGAGGGGAAAAATCAGGTGCAAGCCAGGAATCAGCTGTCCTGGCTCACACCCAGTCCCCCCCACTTGTGCTTTAGGATCTTAATACGTTTAAAAGGCTAATATCTCTTAGTACAAGAGGCAGAGCTTTAAAAGGCAGAGTTGCAGCAGGATTAGCTCCCAGGGCCAGGCACTAATCCTGCTGTAGCTCTGTACTCCCCCCACTTGTCTAATTGCCTAATCAATGGAAATTCCATCGACTAGTTGATTAAATGGTATTTCACATTCCTAGTTTGGAGCCCCCTCCTGTGCTCCAAACTGGGGGAGTGGGGTGAAGGGATTCGGAATTTGGGAGGGGGCCGTGAGCTGAGGCAAGGGTTCGGGGTGGAGGACGGGGTGAGGGCTTTAGGGTGGACCCCTTGATGAGGGGTTTGGGACACAAGAAGGGGTGCCAGGTTGGGGAATGGGCTCAGAGCTGGTGGCTGGGGTGCAGGAAGGGGTACAGGCTTTTGGTGGGCGTTGGGGTACAGGATGTGGTTCCAGTTTGCGGGGGGGGGGATAAGGGTGGAGTGGGCTTGGGCTTACCTTGGTGACTCCTAGTCAGTGGCATTAAGGCAGGCTGTCTAGTGCCTGCCTGTCCCGGGCACTGCGCTGCACCCTGAAAGCGGCCAGTAGGTCTGACAAAGGGGGGCACACATGAGGCTCCATGCTGTGTTGCTCTTACCCACAAGCACTGCCTCCAAGTTCCCCCTGGCCAAGGAGAGTGTGGAGCCAGTGCTCAGAGCTGAGGAGGCAGCACATGGTGTCCTGTGGTCCCCTGGCTAGAAGCCAGAGCTGCAGCAGCTCTGTGCTGGGACTGGGGCACCTCTGCCCTGGCCACAACAGCTCTGTGCTGTGACCCACGGAGAGGGGCTCCTCTCCCCAGCCATGGCAGCTTTGGGTAGAGGTGTATCTCCCCTCTGCATCTCTGAGCCCTTGCGTGGAGCTTAGTAGCCCTTGCAAGGGCTCAAAGGGAATCTGTGAAGCCACGCAACTTAAAGGGAACTTAACCTAACATGCTGAGAGCCATTCCCTTGAAGTGAAGGACATGAGACCATGCTTCAAGAGATGCTGTTCACTGTGCATTAGACAGGTCAGTTACATGGTTGAAGTAAAAGCATTTCAATGTAACAATATTGCTTTTCAAAGATGTATCTTATAGACCAGGGATGGGCAATAACACAAAGGCTACCGCCAGGGTTAGCTCCGGTGTGTGGCCACCACTATATTTTACCTGTATGGCCGCAGGTACTGGCGATCGCAGCTCCCAGCCAATGGAGCGGCAGGAAGCAGCACAGAATACTGTTTCACACATCTCCCACTGGCCGGGAACAACCATCTGGGGCCAAAGGGAGCTGCAACTGTCAGTACCTGCAGCCATGCACATAAATATAGTGGTGGGGGGCCCCCAAGAGCTAACCCTGTGGACCAGATCTGGTCTGCCGGCCAGGATTTGGCCATCCCTGTTACAGATTATGTAGACTAGACACACGCATGAGCCTTATTTTAATGAGTTTCTGTACTGTTCATTTAAAGGTTAATGAATTAGATTAGAGAATAACACTACCTTATCTACACTCTCAGACTCTTTAAAAAGCACAAAGCCAAAACCCCTTGATCGCCCTGTGATAGGATCTAACTTCAGAGTGCAGTCTACAACTTCACCAAATTTAGAGAAGTAGTCCTTCAGATCTTTCTTTGTAGTGTCCCAGCTAAGGCCTCCAATGAACATTTTCCTGTAAAGACAAGATTATTAATTTGTTAATGTCTGTTCTAAAATTTGACATACAGGATTTTTTTTTTCATAGAGCTCATTTTTCCACTTAGGGAACTTTGGTAGGATACTACCAGAAATACTACTTTATACATCTGATCATCCTTCTACATTTCAGAAAGTGGCCCCTCAGATTTTTCTGGATAGATCTGCACTTGTGGCTAGTCTACGTAAAAGTGATATTTTGAGTTCCATATGTGTGTCCCAGTCATGTATTTACTTTACAAATAAGACTTAAGCTACCAGCCCTACAAATTCAACGTGGGGGCTGAAAAGACTAGGTGGATTTTTTTTTCTACTTCCCACCACCACCACCACCACTTAAATCCTTCAATAGTGTTCTGTTCTCAGCTGCACTTACAGTCTCACAGGGGATCAGATGTTAATTAAGTTATTATTACAGTACATAGTTAATTTTCAAAATAAATGCACAAAGGAGAGATTATCCACTTAGCTGTATACACCAGTCTGGACTGAACACGCAAAAATATGTCTAACTTGCCAAGATCCTAGACCAAAAAAAACCTCTACCAAGTTGGGGTCAGATTACTCTACCCAAATGGAAGGGAAGTAACCAATACTGGAACATGACTCAAGTTACATGCTCAGACCAAGACCAATACTGAACATATAGAATTATATAAGGATGAGACCATGTGTTTTTCCAAAGTGACCAAACAAGCTGTAAACCCATTGTTTTCCCATGCACACTAACCATGAAACTTAACATGGGTAGTTTAATCTAAATTTTATTTTCATTTTCATTTTCATTGTAAATACTAAGTTACACTAGATAGTTTGGAAACAAGTCACTCCCCCAATAGCAAAAGAGTTAGGAAATAAGGGGTAAAAAGTTTAAACATCTTAGCTCCTCAAAATGGAGCACTACATGCTTTGTGTCAATTTACGTTAACCAAGTGAACTTGTGAAAGGAATCTTTCCTAAAGCTAATAGGCAAATGTTATTGGTACCCACTCTAGTGAAAAAACATTTTGAAGTTAACTCCAAAAAAATATCACAAGAGAAAACAAAATCCAGACAGATCTGCAAAGACCTTTCCTACAAGACCTAGTTCCCTTTATTGCCCCAACTAAAACTTATTTCCAAGGGAGTTTGTGTTTATTCTAGAAATCCCTAGAATAGCTCCTCTGCACACAATATAAATCCCAAGGCCTCTATGTTACAAATGTGTCATCAGTTTACATTATACCAGCACATCTATAATATGAGTTATGTCACATCAGGATATACCAAACTACCTAGTTAAATCAAAGCTACATATACACATCTGAAAAGCGGGGCTACGCCCAGGCCTTGCTACATTATTCATGGCCTTAGGAATGCATAGACTTCTGACAGATTTATCTAATCCTTATGCAACTGTAGTGGATAGAATAGAGATTCCAGCCTTCTGGAGATGTTACAAGTGTAATACCAGTGACTGTAACATATCCCTAAACACACACAAATCTGAATTAATTACCAGCAGACCTACTCCTCTCCATCCATTCATATATTGTTCCAATAGTCTATTACTCTTTGGTAGAGAGCAAAGAAGTCTCTCTCAAGATGAGTGCTTTCAAGACAATCACGTAGGAGTTATTGAGGCAACCGAGCACTACACCACCACACTAGTGGTGTCAGACACTCAGAAGTGCTCTATGCTCCAGGGATACTTTCAAACAGTGATATTTAGGCTTCAGTTGTTCAAGAGTCAAATTAGTGATCAACATTATCTAAAAGCGCCATAGTATGGAGAACTGATTATTATTATATTTTATATATATTTTCCTCATTGCAAAATGACTAACCAAGTATTACTTTATCAACTACAACTGGTTAAGAACATAGTAAAGGCATCCTTGTTGGTTAATAAAACTGCACAGTATTTTAATATCATGTGTCTCAAAGAGCCTCAGGAGACATAATGAGCCACTTGCAATTCGCAAGCCTCAATCTGAGTGTCACTGATTTAGAGGATATATTGGAGAACTTCAAGTTTTCTTGTATTATAAAAACCAGAAAAAGGCTTAGTTTGGAAAACCTGATTCCCCAACATTATCGGGGAACTTTTTGCTGCATGAAGCAAGGGAAGAAAAAAGACGACATTTACAGAAGGACTCAATAAGTGATCTAATTATAGCAACTCAAACTTACCAAAACCCTCCCTCATATTACTATTCCCAGGGACAATTACAGTATGAAACAAACATGTTTTATCCCCTTCCATAAAATAAGCATAGTACAGTAAAACTCCGATGGTCCGACATTCCTGATGGTCCGGCACCATCAGGAACCCGGAAGTGCTCTGGGCAGCCGGACCATTGGAGCTGATCTGCCCCCAGCTTTCCCAATTCAGCCACTGCTAAAACTGACCAGCAGCTGAATAGGGGAAGCCGGAGGCAGAGCAGTTGGAGTGCTACCGGGTAGGTCCCGTAGCGCTGCCCCTTGGGGCTGCTGCGGGACCAACCCGGCAGCACCCCCGCTGTCCCCGATTCAGCCGCTGCTGAAACTGACCAGCGGCTGACTCCAGGAAGCCAGGAGCAGAGCTGGGGTAGAGTAGCTGGGGTGCTGCTGGGTTGGTACAGTAGCGCCGAGGAGCAGCGCTGCGGGACCAACCCGGAAGCACCCCAGCTGCTCTGCCCCAGGCGTCCCCAAGAGCAACTGGGGTGCTGCCGGGTTGGTCTCGCCGCGCCAAGGGTCAGCGCTACCGGACCAACCCGGCAGCACTCCAGCTGCTCTGCTGCAGGCGTCCCGATTCAGCCGCTGCTGAAACTGACCAGCAGCGGCTGAATCAGGGACGCCTGAGGTAGAGCTGGACTATCGGAAGGGGGGGCTATGAGATGTCTGGGATAGCATCCCCCTCACCCCACCTCAAACCCCTCATAGCCCCCCCTTCCAATAGTCCGGCATATCTGATAATCCAGCACCCCCTGGGTCCTAAAGGTGCCGGATTATCGGAAGTTTACTGTATTACCTTTTAAATAGGCCATCAGCATAGTTAGCCTTTCTAACTCTTAAATATATTGAAATAGTCTAACATACTGTAATATCTTTACACATTAAAAAGTTGTAGGAAAGACTGTCTGACAAAATGCCATATACGTCTATTGAAGACTGAAGTTAACATGGCATTTACTCTTATGAAACAATAGTAGCTTCGGTTTTAATTTCCCATTTTCAAACAAAGGAGTGTTTTACTTTTAGAGTCGCTAGAATTTGGGCTTTTGTATTTGTCTGAAAGTTCAAATATTATGTTTTATGAGCACAGTGAAAATACCCAGATCTACCTCATTTTTGCCACAACAAGGATTCCCTTCAGCTAACCTGGGATATTATATGAACACTACATACATCCTCTCTATCATTCTAAAACCCACATCATTCTATTTTAATTTTAAAATTAGATGTTTGAATTTAAAATATGTTGTGTCCACTCATTTAAAAGTGAATTTCTCTTGCCATCTTTCTTGAGGATTAGGAACAGTTTAAGTTACTTAAAATGATTTTTAAGTGTAGGAATGGACAGCTATGCTATGCATTTCTTGTTAATAAAAAGATATTGAATTACTGATGTAGAAATACACTGTATGTAATGTTCCATTTAAAACGGGTTAAATATTGGAAGCCTTGGGGAAAATAATGACATGAGCTGGTGATGTTGGTACAACCCTGCCCGGTTACTAAGGTTATTTGGGTAGGCAAGAGATCATGTCTATCTGCACAGCAAAACCAATCCACTTCCAATTCAAGTGCTTGAGTACCGCTGCGCATCACTGTAGTTTCTAAGCTTCTTCCATTTAAAATCAACAGCATAAATAAAACTCCTAGGGGACTTCTTGGGGGTCTATGATTCGTTCCCCTTCTTGGTGTAAAATCACTGTTTTGCATTGTTGTGTTTATATTTGTAAATATAATTAATTCTCTTTTTTTAAAATAGGAATTTAGTAGCAGTGACGTGTCTGCGTTGTGTCATAGTACTCATAAGAATGATCAAACTGAGTCAGACCAAAGGTCCGGCTAGCTCAGTATCCTGTCTTCCAATAGGAGCCAATGCCAGGTGCCCCAGAATGAGTGAACAGAACAGGTGATCATCAGGTGATCCCTCCCCTGTCATCGATTCCCAGCTTCTGACAGAGGTTAGGGACACCATTTCTACTCAGCCTAGCTAATAGTGATTGATGGACCTATCCTCCATGAATTTAGCTCTTTTTTCAAGGCAAGATCTCCCTTTATAAAAACCACGCTGACTTTTCCCCAACAAATCATATTCATCTATGTGTTTGATAATTCTGTTCTTTACTACAGTTTCAACTACTTTTCCGTATACTGACATTAGACCAATTGGTAGGATTGTCTCTAGAACCATTTTTAAAGATTGGCATCACATTATGCTTATGCTCGGACCCTGGTGGCCTTTACCTTCTCTTCAAAAGTCTTAGGAAAGAAACTTCACAATGTGCCTAGAAAGCCAGGTTAGCTCTATCAGTCAAACTGGAAAATTAGTACAGCCAGCTTGAGCACCTGAACTGGTCTTAACTGTGTGATTCACATAAGAGTGGCATCTGATAGGAAAACAACAGGAACAGTTCACAGGATTTATCTAAAAAAAGACAATACATTATTCCCACCCACCAAAGTCCAGAAAACTTTGCATTTGTAAAGATACACTGTTTAAGAAGTGGCAAATTGCATGTTGAAGTTTCAGATAATATAATTAGAGTTCTTTTCGCATGGTAAATAAGGACGTTAAATTTAGATTAATCAACTAATCGAACAGTCAATGGAATTTGTATTGACTATTCGATTATTAGTCAGTAAGAATGCCCCCATCTTTGAAATGTAGCAAGACCCTTGCCTGCTAATTTCTACCTTTCAAAGGTGGAAGCAACATAGGGAACATTGGGCCAACCACTGGGGGACTCAAGCAGTCCCCCACTGGCCTTGAGCACCATGCATGCA